GAGAATTTAGACACATTCTACACATCTATTATTGAAGACACACAAGGCTTGTTCCAGTGACATAAATAATAAGCCACATGTAATTCCTTCTACATTAAACACCACTCCTGCTCACAGTTTTACAGAAGAGAAACTCAAACATAGGTAGTAGCACTGGATACGGCATGAGGCATCATGTGATGTTGCAATCATGCACTGAAAAAAGGTTTCATCTGCCAGTGTACCGGGAGTTCTTGCACAATGGGCCCAGTTCTGCAGTTCATTTATTCATAAAAGTAGTACCTCAGTCAGCTGACTAGTGGGTCAAACAGGGCAAGAAAATCTTTGTAAATCAAAGAGCCAAGCCCTACATTTCATATGTACTTCACATTTCAAAAGTCTGAAAGTCTAGAATGCAGGAAACACGGTAGTGTATCTATTTCTATATTTTCAGCCCATGGGACAGCTTATCCCCACTTACTACCTATACATTACATATGACATTAATAATCAACTTGTGGGTTTGGGGGTTTTTTGTTCTAGATTTTTTTGTTGTTGTGGCTTAAAGTGTTCAGCTGCATTATCAAATTATAACCATAGCTCTCCCTGCTCAATTGCAGGTCTATAACTAACTTGCATGAACAAAGTACATGTACATAAAATGGGAAGTGTAAATGTTCCAAGTATATTTCCCCCCCAGCCTCGCATGCAATCATTTCTACACAGCACTGAAGAGCTTTCAGGTAGCCAATAATCTCTTAGCCAAACTTAAGGAATTACATAAAACCATATACAATGAAAAAAATAAATATACACAATCTCTCAAAGCAAATACTACTATTAAAAAATCCCATCCAGACACGCTATTGTTTCTAGAAACACAAAACTGTAGCTAGGCCCTTGCTGGAAGAAAAGTTCTGTAGCAATAACGAAGTAGTACTCTTTCATAACTAACAAGTTATGATGACATAGCAACAAATTAACAAATAATGTTTTTACAGCAATCATACTGTTGTTATGCCTCTTAATTACAAGGGAACAAACCAATATGAACTCTTCAACTATGAATACCCCCAAACTGCATGATGATCTTTGCACCTGGGAAGCACTGCTGAAACCTGACTAAAGTTCAAAGGTTGGCTGTGTGGTTCTCAACACAGGGTTCGATCTGCATCACAAATACACTTGGAAAGCCTCGTAAAATAAACATATATTAAGCTACCAACATCTCCCCCCACCATGTTTTCCCACCGTGAAGTCTGTTGCACTCCAGCAAGCTTCAATTAACTCTAGAGCCACATCCTAGAAATACTACTCTGAAGAAGCGGTTTTATTCATAGAAATAGCTCGTCTGACTTCAACAGCAGAACCTCTTGTACCAGCATGGTGGCTAGGATCAGGTCCTCTTCACAACTTACTGCTGTTGACTACAGACACAGAATTTCATATTTCTAAGTTAGGCTGCCTCACTTTTTACCAGTGATTTCATTTAAAAACGGGCAAAGCCATATGATATAACAGGAAAAAAGATAAGAGCACATTTGCTCTTTACGAAACCTGCCTTACATGTGAAAGGATACTTGGATGAGCCTAAGCCTTTAAAGAAAGCAGCCCTCTTCAGAAACGTAGGGAGATAATTCAGGGGCATCCAGACTGGAGTGGGGAGAGGGCAAGGGGGAATCAGCATCACAGGTATCGAGACGTTGAAGAAAGACCTTTCCAAACACGAAATATTTCGGTCGGTAGCCCGGCCACAGCCCAGCCGAGCCTGTTAAATTAAAGGCAGGCACCAAGCGCAGCCATCGCCTGTGTCCAGGTGCTTATCGAGACGAGGGCAACATCCCTCGCACAGAAGCCACCGAGCAAGCGCT